GCTCTCAATGTATGGTGAGTGTGGAGAACAGGAGACCCTTTTGACTGGAAACGAGGCATTCCAACTTAGTCCTCAGCACAACGCATCTGAATTTTTATTCTCAGTCGAGAATGGTGATCTCATATGATTTATAGTACTTATTATTAGATATTTAAGTACGAAGGATCTTAACCATTTATGCTGCAGTTATGTATAGTTATGCTAGGTCTATGTAAAGCTATACTAGCTATATATAACTGGAGCGTGAATAGTTCGGCTCACGCGGAGTTGGACGCCGCTTTCACAGAATAATAATATAAAATATTAGTAAAATAATAATAATAATAACGCAACCGTCGGAACTTTTCCGCCGCCTGGATAGACTACAGAAAGGCATTTGACTCCGTGATCTTTGTGTGGTCTTTGATACATGGCTAAAGAGGGTCCTCGAGCTGTACAAGATTGACTGTACAGTTCGAGACTTCCTCTTGGACAGTGTATGGGGCAGTGGAGTACGATCCTCTGTCATCTAGGCGAGCGGATGACGGCTGCGGAAAGCCGCATAAGGATAAGAAGGGGTATATTCCAGGGCGACTGTCTGAGTCCAATCTGGTTCTGCCTCTCTTTGAACCCTCTCAGTACTTTACTGGAGGGCTCCGGGAGCGGATTTCAGCTTCGGAAAGGATGTACAAAAGTGACCCACCTTTTCTACATGGATGACCTCAAATTATTCGCCTCCAGTCGCTCCCATCTTATGGAATTGCTAAACATCACTTGTGAATTTAGCAATTCTATTGGAATGGAGCTGGGTACGGATAAGTGTGCGGTCCTACATGTTGAGAGGGGAAGGGTTGCTAACTCTGAGAGCATAGACTTATCTATGCACGTCAACTTAAGGACCCTGAGGCTGAAACATACGATGGGGATGTCACGGAACATCGGTATCGATGAGGCTGGTATGAAACAGTCAGTTTGCGACATGTTTTATGCACGCTTGACCATAGTGCTTAACAGCCTTTTGTCCGGTGTGAATAAGGCACACGTATATAACGGCTGGGTCATGCCTGTCCCCATGTATACCTTTGGCATACTCAGGTGGACTCAGACTGAACTTAACGCCCTGGATAGAAAAGTCCGCACTACCATGACGTCCCATAGGATGCATCATCCGAGATCGTCGGTAATGAGGCTGTACTTGCCGCGAAAGTATGGTGGGCGTGGCTTCCTGAGCGCGCTCACCGTGCATAATCGCGAAGTGTGCAGCCTCCGTAATTACTTCCTGGCGAGATCGGTATGATCCATTCTATAATGACGTCATTTCTAGTGATAAAGGGCTTATATCCTTAGCCAACGAGCAAGAATGGCAGTACCCGGCAGTACAAAGCATTTCCGACCGGGAGACCGTATGGAAGGAGAAGGAGCTCCAAGGGAGATACTACAGGGTTCTACATGAGCCCTTCGTAGATACAGTCGCCTCCCTCAACTGGCTACGTTTCGGTGACCTTTTCGGGGAAACCGAAGGTTTTGTCTGTGCAATACAGGATCAGGTTATTAAGACCAACAACTATCGGAGATACATCCCAAAGGATGGCACCGTCGACGTCTGTCGAGCTTGTCGCATCCCGGTATCACTTGGCATGTCTCTCCGGTTGTTCGGCGCTTTCTAACTCTGAGTACATGCACAGGCACAACCTAGTAGCCAGAATTCTTCACCAGGAGCTCGCTCTGAAATACGGTCTCGTGAACCGGAAATTGCCGTATTACAAGTACTTGCCGGAAGCCGTGCTCGAAAATGACTGCGCCAGGCTCTACTGGGACCGGGCCATCATCACAAATAGGACTATTCTTGCGAATAAGCTTGATATTGTGCTGATGGACCGGGCACAGTCAAGAATATTTTTGGTCAACATTACCATTCCGTATTCCAAGAACTTCGTGAAAGCCGAAACAGATAAACGAACAAAATATCTGGACCTGGCTCACGAGGTGACCGACATGTGGGGTGGTCTGCCGGCCGAAATTATTCCTGTAGTCGTCTCTGCGAATGGGCTAATCCCAGTCAGCCTCTCGGGTCATCTGAGGTGACTGGGGCTCCGTGACGGACCGCTCCGGGCTCAAATGCAGAAGGCGGTGCTCCTCGATACCGCCCGCATCGTCCGCCGGTTTCTTTCCCTTTCCTCCTAACCCTCGGCCGTTTGGTCTCCCCTGCCGAGGGCTCCCATCTGGTTGGATCTTATTTATTTATGTATTTTTTGTATTTATTTTATTTTATTGATATGTATGTATATTTATCTTTTCATTTTAATTTATAATTATATATTTATAGAACCCAACCAGATGAGAAAATTATATAGATACCCCCATAATAATAAAACTTTATTTAATTCCATGCATAGCACATATTAAACGATACAATTGGTAACTTAATACCTTATATTATTCAATTACATTTGTTATTTTAGATGAATTTGATTTCTAGTTATAAATTCTATTTTATAATTAGTTTAATTATTATTTGCTTTAATTATCAACTACCTAATTATTTAATGCATGGACCACGTTCGGGTAAAAGCCAACTTCCACCCGCGCACGCTACAATTTCGTCTGCCCATCTGGTCTTTAGTTGACCTCTTCATCTGGTGCCTTTTGGCCAGACCACTTTACTGTCCGTAGAGTCCATCTATCGTTCTTGTAACGGGCTACGTGATCTGCCCATTTCCATTTATATAGCGTTCAATGCAAAAGTTAAGGCATCGCATACTTTGGTCTTCTTTCGAATGTAAACGTTCTTTACCTTATCCTTCAATTTTATACCTAGGCAACTTCTTTCCATTCTTCTCTGGGTAGTCTGAATTTTGTTCCTGGTTTTGAGATCAAAGGTCCTTTGATCTGAAAGGCACGAGTAGTGAGGCACGGTAGAAGTCCTGTATCGATGACTATTTTCTTGGTCGGTAGCGGAAGTTGAGATTTTAGTATTTCCTTGTGGTGCCTGAACTTGTTCCAGGTAATCGCCACTCTTCAGTTAAGTTCTTCAATATTTCTCTACTTACTAAAGGAGATTTGTTTTCCTAAGTGTATGTTATGGTTGACAAACTCGAGAGGTGTGTTATTTGTTAAGATGGGCGTAGCACTGCGGTAAGACATAATTTTAGTTTTTTCCAGATTCATTTCCAAACCAGTTTTTATACTAGCCTGGTTTAATTCATTTATCATTTTGTTTAATTGGTGAGGGGTTTCCGAAAGTAAAATTGTGTCATCGGCAAATCTCAGATGACTTAAAAAATTCTCATTTATATTAATACCTTGATTGGACCATGGCAGCTCTGCCATTACGTGTTGTAAAACGGCTATGAATAATTTTGTTGAGATCGGATCTCCTTGCCGGACACCTCTCTTTATGTTGATTTCTTCGCCTATTCTATCTAGTTTGACTCTACTTGTGCTGTTAGAACAAATATTTTTTAGGATATTGATATAATTTTCATTTGTGTTTATTGCTTTCAGTGATTCCCAGATGCTCTCGTGTGATATTGAATCAAAAGCTTTTTTGTAGTCGATGAAAGCTAAATCCCCTGTATTTATATAATTCTGAATATTTCTCTATCACCTGGTCAGCCACTCGGATATGATCCATCACGCTGAAACTGCTTCTGAAACCGGCTTGTTGGATCGGTAGGTGAGCATTAACGGCTGGGGCTATCCTTTCAAGTAGGCAGGAGGCAAAAAGTTTAAAAAACGAGGCATTAGGCTTATGTGACGATAGTTGCCTATATCAGCTGGGTCGCCTTTTTTATACAGTAGTATAATTTCCGATTTTTTTTTTGCGCCCGAAGCAAATATGGGCAACCCTCCGGAAAGCGGGGGAGGGAGGTTGAGAATGCTCATAGCATACCACGCAGCCGGCTGCGTGGTTATGTGGTGACTTTTACCCACTAAACTCAACCTTTTAGGAATTGGCTTAAAGATCTGTCTAGAGATCTCTAAGCCGTATACGAACGCGACCCTCCTTGGCAGAAAGGAGGGCGCAAATTTCCGATGTCATCCATTGATGTTGCACAGCTTCTTCATCAAGTATTTTATTCCATAGGATAGTGATTCGTAGGGGGAGGGAAGCACCACGCCACTCAACGTAGCGCAGTCGAGGGAAGGCCAGTCGACGGACAACTTCTGAGTGATTTTTAAAAAATTACCACGAAGGAGATGGCGGGGTCCATTTTTTTTAAATGTGCGTTATTTATACATACATAGTTAATTTTTTCATTTTTTTCTTGCTTTGTTCTTTGGCTCGTTCTCTTTTTCTGCTTTTTATTTGGTATTTTCCATAAAAACAAAGATTTTAAAAAAAATCACCGAAATCGGATGATTTTTCGATTTTATAGAGCTTTTATGATAACATTTAATTAAAGTCAAAAACTTAAAGTGAGATAAAAAATTAACAAACAAACATTTTTAATGCCTTTTTTTAAATTGTTTGTAGGTTAACAATAAAATATACAAACTTCCTTTAACGCTTTGCAAAAAAGTTATGAACGATTATATTCGAAGGAATGCGTTTATGATCACATTTAAAGTCGTAAAACTGTATGAAATCTTGAGGTGAGATATTTTCCGTATTTTTTCCTTAATCCGCCGTAGAGATGAAGATTTAAAAAAAAATTCATCAAAACCGGATGAGCCAAAAAACGAAGTGACCGCAATAGTATAAAATTACCTTATACTTTTATCGTATTTTATAAAAGCGGTGTTTCCTGCATCTTTTTCTTTCTGTAGTTGGACTTGTAGTTCTTTACGCTTAATTAAGACTTCGATTGGGTAGTCTTTTTTTAAGAAATAGGAAGTGTTTTTAAGGTTATGTTTTTTTTGTATTTTTAATTTGAAACCTAAAGTATTGAATGTTATTACTGTCAGTTATTCCTATAGCTTCTATGTTGTAAGTGTCGCATGAATTTTTTATGTATGTATTTATTATATTTATTACCATTTTTTCCAGTTCATCATACGATTTTTCCGTCTCTTCTACGTCAAAAGGAGATCAGATTTTTGGGTCTACACTGTCCTAGGTTGTTAATTTTATTTGATTGCTGTTGTATTTTTTTCTCCAAAAGCTCATTTTTCAGTTCTAAGTTATTGAACTTCTCGTTGAGGCTGTTAATTATTGTACCTTTAATATCTTCTTTCATCTCTAGCATGTCTTGTTTTTGCTGCTTTACATCTTGCTGCATGCCTAATTAGCATATTTTTTATTTCAACCATATTTGGTTATAATTATGATAATTCGCTTAGCGCCCTCTATGGGAACAAGTAAGTACTTCTTGATCGAGTTGTCTAAGCGTATTAAGAGGTGTCCTAAATGTTATGAGATATCGGAGTGCGCGTCGAACTAGGACCTGGCTAGAAAGTTCTGATGGATCGTAATAGATGATGCTGATGGATACCTTGTTCCATGATTTAGGAACGAAGAGATTACTTCACTCTTGAGGTTATAGTTCTTGATGCTTTTGGTTTACGTACTGTTTTAATATAATTCAAGTTCCAGTTTTGTTGTACACATGCTACACTAATAATTTCGCACTTGAATATTGATGTGTTCTTGGTATCTTAACGGGTTTCTTGTGACATTTGAAAGAACGATTTTATGCACTTTTTAATACATTTTATTAATGTTTTATATATTGTTCGGAGTAGTTTAATTACTGGTTTATATATTTTGATTGTATCACTTTGTTTTGGAACATTTAAATAACTTTAAAACTTAACTATTACGATGTTGACAATGGCGCAGTGGCGCCCTCTCTTTTCCACAGAATACCAGCTTGAAAAAGCGGAATAATACAAGGAGGTCTGTGTCCTCTCTTGTAACCCTTCTACAAAAATATTGCTTTTTTGTTTCTTGTAGTAATTTTTCAATTAAGTATAAGTTGAAGTATTTAAAAAATAAAGCATTTGATGAAGAAATGAAGTTTCAGCGCCATCTGTAAGCACTTTGAAAACGAACCAACTATGTATTTTTCTGAAGTATAAATTATAGAAAATTTATTGTAATTCAGCATGAAATTTTGACATTTATTTACATAATAACATTGGAACTTTTGTTATTCACTGACAACATAAAGTATTATCTAACTTACTACAATTAGTGCTCACGTCCCACGAAATGTTTTACTACATTTGTGATTTCAGAGCTTTCTGCTGCCAAAAACGAAAACAATATCGTATCTTGAATGATAAAATACGTTAAATTGTAGTATGTTCACATGTGAAGAAAAGATGGCGCTGTTGTTAGATCTAAAATGCTAATAAATTATTTTTTTAGTTTACATTTAACATTTATTCTAATTATGATGATCTGACATAGCAACCTCAGCATATCAAACACATCTTTATCTTTTTGTATAATTCATGATAAATAAAAAAAAATTTAGATACAGCTAAGACACTGAGATGGCCAGGTGCAGGCTGGCGCGAGCCCGATCATATAAATCATTTAAGCCCCTGTATGGTACTTTGTTATGAAGGAAACACTGGAGACGTTTTGGTTTGGTAAGTGTATTTGCTCTCGCGCACCTTTGTGACAACCTTTTTAATTGTAATGTGATAATGTAATGTAATGGCCGCCTTTCCGTGTCGCTAAAGTAAGCAGCACGGATGTAGCGCCATCTATGGTTCTCTATGTGAACTGTTTGTTCCAGTTAGGTAAGTAGTTTATGAAAGGAAAGAGAACCATAGATGACGCTTTACAAATGGTAAGGGTAGATGGCGCCGATAGTGTTTATAATATATTTGGCTTACAACAGCCCCTGGACCAATAATTTCTGTTCCACAAATATTATTTAAGGCAGAAATCAAATCTAAGATATATGTCTTTTAAAGAATATTAGAGAACTACTTCAACATAAGTAGTACTATATTGAGACAATCGGACGTACCTACATCATCGAAAATTACACTAAACTGTATTATTTATTTCTAGTACTTAGCTCAAAATTTTTAATGATATACAACTTTTTTTATTTTAATTGTTAGCACAGACAAACAATGATAGTGAAGTGCAAAATTAGTTTTTGGCCATACTAGAGGCCAAATATGTAGAAATTTAAATATTTGCAATTTCAGAATTTTGTAACGACTTGTAAAACAGAAAGAGTGATTTTTTATTTTTTGAATTTTGAATAAGTGAAATATTTTTTGATAAAATCATGTCATTGAGGTATTACTACTTACGTTAGTAATATAGTTCGATGATACATATTATTATGTTTTAGGAGATAGGTATACTGAATGTAGGTATATGATTATTTGTTTCATCACAAGATGGCACTCTAATAAAAAGAAAGTGAAAATAAAAATAAAATTGTATTTGTACATACATGCAGCACGCAATTAGCTCAAACATTTAAAATAATATTTTAATCGATCAGTCTCATTAGGACAAACTAAATCACTATACGAGGGGTGATCCAAAAGTAATGATAATCGGTTACTTCAGGTCCGCATAAAAATCCAAAAAAAATATTTTTTTGCTCGCTTATATACTCACTACGTCAGCCTAAAAAAATCATATAAATAGATCACGATTTCCGGAAGATACATTCATTTGAATACGAACTGTCAAAGAGATAAAATCAACATGGAGAAAAACGAAATTATAGCTGTCATCAAGTACCTCTGTTTGAAAAAAAATGTCTTCAAAAGACATACACATCGTGTATCTTTTGTGGAAACATTGGGGGACTCTGCTCCTCTATATTCTACAGTTGCACGCTGGACCAAGGAGTTTAAACTGGGCAGAACATCCACTGAAGATTAACATCGCGAAGGACGCCCATCCACGTTGGCAGATCGAAGAGTGACCATCAGGCATGTAGCTGAGGTCACAGGGATCTCATATGGCAGCGTTCAAAGAATCCTTGCGAAAGAGTTGCATATGAAAAAGGTCTCTGCTCGTTGGGTACCCAGAATATTAACCGACGAGCAAAAGAAAAATCGAGTTGACATTTCGAGGGTCAATCTCGAAAAGTTCCAAGCAGATCGAGAAAATTTTTTGTTCCGTTTTGTGACTATGGAGGAGACCTGGATCCACCATTTTGATCTTGAAACGAAACAACAGTCGATGACTTGGAAGCGAGCCTCCTCACCGACGCCAAAGAAATTCAAAGTTTCAAGTTCGGCGGGAAAGGTTATGGCATCTGTATTTGGGACGCTCAAGGCATAATTATGGTGGAATATATGGAAAAGGGAGCCACTATTACGGGCTATTACTACGGAGACCAAATAAGAAGATTACGGGAGGCCATTAAGGAAAAAAGACGCGGCAAACTGCGAGCTGGAGTGCTGTTTCACCAAGACAACGCACCGGCTCACAAAGCCGCAGTTGCGATGGCTGCCATTCAAGAAACGGGATTCGTACTGCTCGAACACCCCCCCCTATTAGCCAGATCTAGCTCCTAGTGACTTCTAACTCTTTCCTCGGCTCAAGGAACGCCTCCGAGGCAATAAATTCGAAGACGATAGCGAAGTAATGGCCGCTGTTGAAGCGTTTTGGGAGGGTCAAGACATAGAATTTTTTTCAAAGGGAATCCTGGGTTTAGAAAAAAGATGGACTAAATGTATTGATTTGTTAGGAGACTATGAAAAAATAAATTATTATTTTAACTTTAATTACCGTGTTTTATTTTCATTATCATTACTTTTGGATCACCCCTCGTATACAGTTTAGTATTAGTAACATAGACCCTTTTGCTCCATTATCGCGCGTATTTTCTCCGGCTTCGGCCAGAAGAACATCAGCAATATAGAACCTGTGAAAGAAGAATAAGTATGAGAGCCCTCTAGTGGTCACTTTAAATTTAGGCAGGAAAAGATTTTGAAGATATCCATATAGGTAGGTACTTATTATATATAAGGTGGGTGTACCATGGAAGGCCATGCTCCTTCGAAGGCCAATTATTAAAATGTGGTAGTTATTGCCGCCACGTGATGACAAATTCCTTCTACTTACTCAAACACCTATCGAACTGAAAATCACAGACGCGGCGGCGAATCGCTCGCGCTACTGTTATGGCAGTACGGTCCCTCGCTTCATTGATTTAGGAGATCGACGCGACGTTAAAATAAGGTGGGGTGTACCATGGAAGGCCACTCCAACAAATAAACAGTTATTATTCGTTTATTTACTGGATAAATGAAACTAACATATATTTAAGTAATACTTTGTTTTATTACGTAACATATAAACCACTTCTTTTTATTGTAGATTTAATCGCTATTTATTAAATTTTAGTGTTAAATGATTGATTTATTATAATGGCCTTCAAAGAAGCCTTGTTCCTAGAAAGGCCATTTGGAAGTGTTCAATGAAACTTAAGTTCAATCAATATTGATTAAATCTGCAATTGTAAAAGTGGTTTATATGTTACGTAATAAAACAAAGTATTACTTAAATATTTGTTTATTACATTAATCCAGTAAATAAACGAATAATAACTGTTTACTCGTTAGAGTTGCCTTCCATGGTACACCCACCTTATATATATGTATATTATATATATATATACTATATATCTTATATATATATATTATATATATATATATATAAGCATTCAGTAATTTATCGTCCCAAATTTCGATACTACTGTGCATGTGCTGCGGTTTAACTTCTATATACATGACAAAAAATCTAAATGTTACCGGATGTAAATGCACCGAGGAACGTAAAAGCGAGCTGGCAATGCATATCCAACGTGGCCCCGAGCAGATTGGAACCAACGGCCGCGCCCGCACGACCCACCATGTACATCATGCACATCGCCATTGCTCTGCAGTTACAATGATATATAGATCCTTATAAATATATTTTTAATAAGATGACAAAAGAGTACAGACCATGGGTGCTGTAAAGTGCTTGAAATGTCGGGAATATAAAATAACTAGTTTTTTTGTTATTATAGAAAAACGCTGCCACCCATCGGTTGGTTTCACTCTGCCGCCTCTTACCACACCCACGGGATTAAATGGGGCGATAGGTCGACACGACAAGGTAATTCAAGGTATTTAAAGCTAACTCAGGAGGAATATCAATTTATCCCGGAATATACAAAATTGTTGATTTTAGCTCAATATGTGAAGGAGTGGTAACTCAGTGACTAAGCGTTCGCTGTAAATACAGCAATCAGCCCGGGTTTGTCCCCGCCGGCATCAATGAAATTGTTAATTGTAATTTCATGAGCTCGGCGGTGAATGAAAATATCTTGAGGAAAACTACATGTCCGAGAATGTAAAAAATTGTTTTATAAACGTTCACCAATACGCTTTGGGGCAGCACGGGGAGAAGGAGAGATCTCCCGCCGGGCTAGGTGTTTAGCCGGGGAGACGGTCAATGCACTATTTGGTAGATCAGAGCGAATATATATATATAATATAGCAGGTTAACTTAAAAACTTTGATAGTGCGATTTAGGCTTCGATGCGTTTCGCTTGTGGCGTGACGACAGTGCCGCCACACTTTTTACTTTCGACATGAAGGCTTTGACTTAGACCACGGGAAGGACTAGACGGCTTTTATCGCTGGTGATACATATCCTTAAATTTAATTAAATACATGTAGGTATTATATTAAAAAGTGTGTGGTTTTATACCTCAAACATGTAGGAAACACATCGACAGAAATAGCGGCGAGAATTGAAGCCGCACACCCCGAACACAGAGCTACGATTAAGAGGGCAGTGGCCGCTCCACCTTGAGGGACAAATGCCGCCCCTATTGTGGCGATACCGCAAATGAACATAATACCACCTGTAAAATAACAGAATGAAACTAGTGGTAGACCCTCGCTGCAGCTTTATTATGGTTCTAGCAAGAATGACTCGGCTTGAAAGGTGTAAGGACCACGGACTCTCAGAATACCGACGTGAAATAGCAACTTACTTCTGTTGTGTTTCGTTTGATGAGTGTAAAAAAATGGTCTTCCCTTTTTATTAGTGACGAGGCTTTCCATTCAAATCTTCGCGGGTGAGGTGAGAACAAATCTGCATTTTGATTATTAATTGAGGATAGATGTAGGTGTCCTTGGGCCACAGCATATACTTAACATCAGATGGACTGTGTGCTCGTTTGTCACTCTTATTCTATAGAATAACGTTGTAAAACATTTGGAACACATGTTTGAATTCCAGCCTAAGCTAAGTGATGGCTCTGTAGCGCAGAGGCTACGCATTATAGTTTGTTTTGATTGAGGTGTTTTAGCTACGGCGCTATAGGTCGAAGGTTCGATTGTTGCACAAGATACAATGCGCTTGTATAGTCCAAATAATGAGTTATTATTTTTTTTTTTGGATAGGTGACAAACGAGCACATAGTCCACCTGATGGTAAGTGGTTGCTGTGGCCCATAGACATCTACATCTATCCTCGATTACGAATCAAAATGCAGATGCATGGTCACCCATGAGGACTTAGATGGAATGCCTCGTTTTCAGTAAAAAGGGTCTCCGGTTCTCTACACTCACCATACGAAACATTAAGCTACTACTTGACGCTGGTATTCTGTGAGAGCGTAGTCCTTCCCCGGTCGAGCTGACCCATTCGCACTATAACTATAACTACTAATATAACTGCAGCATGGCTCTACCACGTAAAGTAATATTTAGGAATCAATTGAATAAAAAGTAATTGTAATAATTTCATTATCATTATTATTTTTACGAGCTTGGGGTTCGTGACAATAAAAACTGCCGTTTGAGTTATCAAAATTGACACTTTAATTACAGAATACCAATTACAACTTAAAACACACTAATAATAAAACACAATTATACTACTGATCTCTTTAGTTTGCAGTTATATCGCTTCAAAGTGTTTGCTTGCACCACTAATTCAATACTGACTCGGTCGCGGTCTTAAACGGCCTTATATAGGGCATCTTCTACTGAAACATCTAGAATGTTTGAGTACATACGGGTCCCGACTGACTAGGTGTAGAAAGTTCTAGTATCGAAATCTCTAGAAGGATCTTGACTCTCCTAGTTCTGCTACTCGATACTAGAGGGCGCTAGTGGTAACTAATGTCTCCGTGTACCAGGCACTCACATCATTATTACAGCCTATCAAAGTCCACTGCTGAACATAGGCCTCTTAAATAGAATACTTCATAGAAAGGATTTAGCCATAGTGGTCACGCTTGGCAGGCTGGTTGGCAACCAGGATATACATTATTTAATTTCTGTGTGTCGCTGTTATAAGGCTGTTATACTGTTGGAACGAGCATAACCATTTGTTGCTCATTACGTATCAATTGGTTTTAAATATAATTTGAAAACTGGTATCTATAAGATTATCTCATCATGATCATCGTCCTGAACAGGCGGGCAGAGAGGGGGAGGGGAGAGTTGACACCCTTACACACTATAATATTAATGTCTGTAAAATTTAGGTCGGGTCAATCGGAACGTCGGTCGCTGGAACCTAGTATATTTGATATATATTTGAGTTATTATCAGAAAGATACTGTCCATCTTTTGTTTTGGTTACCTCTCTCCCCCCTAACGACACTCGCGGGACTAAATTATAATATTCTCGTATTTTAACATTATTTTGACGGGCTGAAGAAGAATAAGAAGAAGAAAATAATCTAACGTCACATCATTATATACTTACAATACAGGGTTTTCTTTCCTATCTTATTAATGAAGAGTCCGATGGCCAAGTAGGTGATAGCAAACACTGCCCCCATGCCCATTGATATGGGGAAAACCCCCACGGACACTTCAGTATGGCAAGCATTATTATCGGTCACCATCAGCTGAAACAATATTTTAATATTACTCCCACACTAATTATATTTATTTTATACGTGGTAGAGTCATGCTGCAGTTATATAGTTATAGCATGAGTGGGTCGGCTCGACCGGGGTAGGAGCCCGCTCTTACAGTATACCAGCGTAAAATAGTAGCTTCATGCTGCTGTGTTCCGTATGGTGAGTGAAGAGATCCGGATACCCGTTTTACTGGAAACGAGGCATTCCATCTTAGTCCTCAGGGGTGACAACGTATCTGCGTTTTGATTCTTAATCAAGGATAAATGTAGATGTCTATGGGCCACAACATCCACTTACCATCAGGTGGACTGTGTGCTCGTTTGTCACCCTTAATCTGGCCAAAGACCTTAACCTTAAGCAAAACTTATTTTAGTAAGTACACTTCATTTTTAGGTTACCATATGTATTTGTCATTAGACTTTACTAGAGTCCGCTAATTTGAATCCTTTGTAGTCCACCAATTTGAATCCTAGTAGTATTTAGAAAAGATTTGAAACTCAAACAATTTACTTCAAGGTTACCATCTGCCAACAATATTTGAGACGTCTGGTACTGCAACATTAAATGCCCCTGCCATGTGTGATGATTAAGAAAAATCTCAAAAATAGGGGACTTCATTTTAATAAGTTCGCGCAGTTTAATTTAGAAATAGAAACTGAAACTTTTTTTATTCAATATAGATTGTAAAGATAGGAATATCACCCTTTTGTTTAATTTACCACTTGTTGGGATAATACCTCTGTCCTGGGAAAAACCAGCAACAAATGCAGCGGGACGAGTAAATAAAAACAGCTTACAATCATAATATATGTTACACAATTAGCAATACAAAACAAATTAAAATAGCTTGGTAGCAATCGCATCTCGTTCCCTGGGGTTATCATCATCCATAAATTCCTTAATATTATAATACTTAACCCTGTTTTATACAAACTTTGTTCGATAAAATTTTTGAACTCTGAATAGGTCAAATTCTGTATATTTATTCTTCACATTATTAGTTAAGTTATCAAGCCAGGAGACCATCATCACCCTTTCTCCCACTATAATAAGAAACTCCGTATAACCTATGAACTTACTGCGTTATTCCTGGCCACTTGGAACTTGTTGTGAATGATCTCACAGATTGTGATGCTGTACTCGCTTTTACTGTTCAGAATGTTGTTCAGTATATCGGGGACCCACATATACAGGCCGCTGGATCTGCAAATAATGAAAGTAGTATATCATCTGGAATTAAACAGAATACAGCTGGACAATCAATAGATCTTTCTATAATTGATCTGTCGGTTCGATTGCCAGTCTATTATATTTTATTCTGTTGGGTATTTCGCATTAGTGACAGTTACTCGATTTCACAGAATCAGTAAATTATTCTTGGGGTGAAGTATATATAAATATAAAAAACACTCACGCCTAGGGACTCACTCTGCGTGACCCAGAGGGGTAGGCAGAAACTACAGACTTCCATTTGGCACGATACTGACACACCTCTTTCGCCTCCTCCACATCCATAGACCTATGTATACATGCCAGTTGGTTAATATTATTTTCAATATATCGCCAATTTGGTCGATAAACTTTCGCCCAGGAACTCCTTTTCCGACTCTGCCGTTCACTATCGCAACATAAATTTGCTTTGTCACTCTTTCCTCATTCATTCTTTCTACATGACCAAACCACCGAAGCATTCCTTTCTTAATCCTCGGCACAACATCATCTAGCATCACACACTCTTCTCTTAACAACAAAATTTTCACCCTGTCACTCAGATTCAGCCCTAACATACTCCTTAACGACCGCATTTCTACTGCGTTTATTCTACTTCCGTGCTTCTTCTGCCACACAAATTTTCACTAGCAAACGTTCCAATAGCAATTACCAAAGTACACCTTCAGGTCACTCCGTCAAGTCCAGAGGTAAGAACTCATCATACCTAACAAAACGAGCCCAAACTCGGCAAACCTAGTAGTACTCGGTGACCAGTTACAATAGCGATTACTAAAGTACATCTTCAGGTCATTCCGTCAAGTCCGGAGGTAAGAACTCATCATGCCCAACAAAACGAGCCATAACACGGCACATCTAATAGTACTCGGCGACCAGTTCCAGTAGCCATTACTAAAGTACACCTTCAGGTCACTCCGTCAAGTCCGGAGGTGAGGACTCATCATACCTAACAAAACGAGCCCAAATACGGCACATCTAGTAGTACTTGGCGACCAGTTCCAATAGCGATTACCAAAGTACACCTTCAGGTCACTCCGTCAAGTCCGGAGGGAAAGACTCATCATACCTAACAAAACGAGCCCAAACTCGGCACACTTAGCTCTACTAGTTCGGGTGTTCCAGTATTAGTTACTGAAGTTCTGGCAGTGACTCTGCACAGGCGTTTACGCAAACATCCGTACGTATTATTTCAGAAATAAGAATATGCGATTTAAAAAAAAAACTATTAGTTGGACTAAAAAATTAAAACACTATTACGTTAATATGTTGAATGTATAAAAATCTGACAAAAAATCAGAATGATTACATGTATACTAGTACGGTTTTTACTCGTTAAAAGAAATTTTTAGAGGTATGTTTGGGATTTTTTTCTGTCGTATTAATGTAGTGGTATCATGTTTTCAACACACTATCTAACTAGCATATATCCTGGACAATATCATATATTTTTCTGGGTTTGTTTACTGCAGTGGATCATGTACTTTGAGGCATTATAAAACTTGCATTTAGCATCATGCCTCGTCCTAAAGTAGGGACTAACACAGCATTGTGAATTGCCCTTCGTGCATTTTTAACACATTTTGACTTTTCACAATAAAGTGTAGAATTGGGGTGATGTATATACGCTTCTACATTAAAACGAGCCCAAACACGGCTATATAAACAAAATCTGACTTCTGTCAAGTTTAAAACTTAAACTTCATTAAACAAAAATAGTATAAAAATTTTATAAGCGGAATTTATGGATGACAATAGTTCCTGGGAATGGGAAACAAGCTATTTCTTTTAATAAGTAAGTCTCTTTTTGGTTTTTCCCAAGACAGAGGTTTTTAAAATAAACAAAAGAGTGACTTTAAATAAGTATTACATATAATCTATATTTAATAAAAAGTTTCTATTTCTAATTCTATTAGGCAACACGAACTGCAGGTGGCAAGGCATCTCTTTCTTGATACTTTATCGCGAATAAATGAAGATGTCTATGGCCACAACATGTAGGTCATCAGGTAGACAGTTTGCATGTTTGTTTATCTATCTTATATAAAAATATATGGTATGACCACCACAGTGCATAATTATAATGAAGCGATATAATGAAGTGAATTTACCGCACGTTTAAAAACGATACGTCCAACCACCAACCTATAAAATGGTTTTAGGTGTACACGTGTGCATCCAGCATTGGACTTTGATGAGCTGTTAAAAAAAAGAAAGATGAAGAATATGTGCAGGAGCGCATGTCAAGAAATTAAACATAGTTTCGTCATCATTTAAAATATACGTTGAGCTCCGTGGGTCTTTCTTTGTTGGTCTGAGCTTACAGCATAAACACGGCAAACATAGAGATGTGCGAGATGAGCACGCAGCGCAGCAGCGGCGGACGGAACAGCAACGATATGTTCTGCATGGCACCTATAAACCCACTCTTAGTTGACTCTATGTTGGTTGATGCCACTTTTAATACCTGGAAAAAAGAAAAAAAAAAGGTGAAAAATCATAATTGTACTATATTATGTTCGACGTGGCTTTTGATACAAAAATCTCCTTTAATACATAAAGTGGTGCGATTTATGTGTATTAAATCTGCGCATGTGAAATTTCTATCCAATTAGTGGAATCGATGAAACAAGTGCCACGATGGTGACGTCAACCTCAGCATAACGTCTGCTTAGGCGACTTGAGACATTATCGTCATCGACAGTCTAATTGGCTCAAGCTGTTGTCAAAATCTTCCACTTCGCAATGTGGCTCATCACCATATTGTGAGAACAAATTAATGTAAATTTCTAATTACTTGACACTGGCAAAAGTACAAACACTACCCGTCCCTTATCAAAGAAAGAAAAAAAAAACAACGAGAACACAAGAGTTGTGGTTACTCAAGGTCGTTCCTTCACACCGCTGCGCTGGGTACACGGTAAATAATTAAAATTTCAATTAACAATTTCATTGGTGCCTTCGGGGATCGAACATGTTGCTGGCGTATATAGATATTACAACGAGAGTTTAGTCCCTGGCTACCACGGCTTCATAGCGAGCTAAGTTCATGGAAATTATGTTCCCTAACAGAAACGATTCTGGGATTACAGGCGCTCGGGACGGAGGCCCCCGAACATTTAGCAATGTAATCCCTGAGGAGGGCTTTGACTCGGAAATATCCCAGAAACACAGTGATAGCACTAGGTGGGTGCTGGGGGCAGTAAGCAAGTGATCATTGTTGGGTTTTAGCTGATAGTCTGACATAACCTTTCTGTTGCCCCCGCAGTCGAAGGAATCCTTGAAGGTTTCCTCACGATAAAAAGCCCCTGATCTAGCTTGGATCATAGCACGCTTCTTACACGCTGAACACACATTCACATATATAATATTGGCATAGATGTATAAATGTAAAGTGTAAAAAAATCTTCATTGTGGTCAGGATCAAAAACCACAACCACATTTTTTATAAGCTTAATACAGGTTTTACGCGTTTTAGTAACACAAGCAGAGTGTACTTCGAAAACCGCATTGTAAAATGTGGGGTGGAACTCGAGACCGTCGGTGAAATAGCGGAATAATCGTACGTATTGTACCGCTAAAAAACACTACAATAATATAACCCGGAAGAGTTATTGAAGTGAAAATTTCTTTAATATCTTTGTTATTTCAAACTCGACGAAACGAAAAGTGACATATTAAATAGATAAAAATATTTTTTGTGTTTTATATAAGTAAGTATAACACAATAAGCTACATGGTACTATACTTTACGTGCTAGAGTCATGCAGCAGCTATGCTAGTTATACATAGCTGCAGCAGGAATGGGTTGGCTGGTCCGGGATAGGATCGCCCTCTCCCAGAATACCAGCGTAAACAGCGGAGTAATGGTGCTGTGTTCGTATAGTGAGTGTAAAGTACCGGTGATCCATTTTACTGGTAAAAAGTCATTCCATCTGAGTCACCAGGGGTTGATTCGTAATCGATGTTGAATGTAGATGTCTACGTGCCCTAATATCCACTCACCATCAGGTGAACTAAGGGCTCGTTTGTCACACTTATACTAGATGACCTTTTTTACCGTCTGGAAAAAAAATAGGGTGTAACCTTTGAGTATTCAATACTCAAAGGGTGTAACATATGAACGGAGTAGAAGCACATTGCACTGATATTTTACTAAAAATAAAAACAAAAATTGTGATTTTAATAAATTAATTATTTAAAATCTACCAAAATTCAAATCATATCCACCATACTTTACGAACGACAATAAAACAATACATTTAGTAGGCATCTTTGAACTTGTCACCTCACAGGATCACAGGCTAGGGTGTAAATGTTTGTTCTCGGGCAATTTAATATAATAGAATAGATTTTTTTTTAAATTCAATACAGACCACATAAAATTCTTATTGAAAGTCATTTTTTACTTTGCCATTGGTTCGGAAAAAAACTTTTGTCCTGGGAAGAACCGGCAAGAAACCTAGCGGCACGTTGTAGGCTGCCTCCACGATACACGATGAGGTAACGTTTATCATAAAGAAAAGAGAAAAATAAAAACAAAGAAAATTCAACTACTCAACTCGGTAACTAACCTCCTACAGTTAGTTCTAACAACTAACAGCTGTTTTATTATAATGGACAACTTTTGACTACTAGTACTTACTGGAAAGCAGTCTGCAGTTTTCCCCTCGTTCCACGCGTACATTGTAGCGAGGACTGGCAACGCCGCCTGCGGTCCTTTCGCTGCTAGAAGATACCTCGGCGACTCAGGCAATACCAGCAAAGCCAAACTCGCTAACAATCCAGGGGCACACCAGGACCACATGAACACCCTCCATGGTGACAACCTCATTGCTCCCCACTGCCAGGACCATTTTCCTGGTATAATTAACCACGCAAGACCTGTGTATGAAAAACAATATTTTTTTAAACTAAGAATGTCTTATGCTATTATTGCCTTCTAAAATGCTGGTTTTCATAATAATAATTTCAAAATGTGTGTCATTGATGATATTCAAATGATGTCAAAGTGTGTGTATGTGTTTATGGAAATGTACGCGACCGTGTGTGTGAGTCTGCCTATCCATATTGCTCTATATGTGTGTGTGTACGAGCGTGCGTGTATTCGTGCGTATACGCTTGCTTGTGTGACTCACTGTTGCACATTTCACATAGTACAAAAGGGTAAAAGTTCCATGAGTTGGCCAAAGAAAGAAAGGGGTATGATGAACGCGAGTAACGAAAGTTATGGTTTTTGAAAGAGAAGAAAGTAAGACGATATGTGAAATAAGAATAGAAGGGGAGTTGATCGAGTAAGTAGATGAGTTTTTTAACAGTGGTAGAGCCACGCGGCAGCTTTGCTGTCGCACGTATGGGCCGGCTCAAACCGGGGTGGTACCACGACCTCACAGAATACCGGCGTGAAGTGGAAGCTCTGCTTCCGCGTTTCGTCTGGTGAGTGCAGGTGGCCGGAGGCCCAAATCCTCCCCCCTCATCAACATGGTAGCGGAATTAAATGATAGACTACCCCAGGAGGGTACCAGCACCCCTGGAGAATCCCTCGCTGAGCATCCACGACCATGTTTCTCCACTTCTGAGCGTGGGTGCTCAGGCTGCCCCGCGTATTCCGGGGGGGGGGAGGGGGGCAAAATTCCGCTCAAGACTACAACTGCTCGGGGCAAACGGAGCAACAAGACCAAGGCGACCCCTGCCACGCTGTCCGTGAATTTCTGCAATATCAGGGGACTTCAATCTAACCTAAACGCCGTCCACTACCATCTCGAGACGGCGAGGCCTGCTCTGCTCTTTCTGACCGCGACGCAGGTGTCCTCTCCGGCTGATGTCTCGTATCTCTCCTGCCCGGGGTACAAACTGGAACACTTTTTGTGCCTCGGGCTGGAGTTTGCGTTTACGTCAGAGAGGACATCTGTTCTCGACGCCTCGACAGACTTGAAGGTTCGGACCTGTCCATCCTTTGGCTACGCGTAGACAGCGACGACCATCCGCGCGTCTACGGGTGCCTCTATAGGTCCCATAGCGGTAATGCCGAAACGGACCGACTCTTCGACCACGTCCAAATGGCTGCAGATTCGTTGCTACAGCAGATCCCCTCCGCAGAGATCGTGATCCTCGGCGACTTTAACGCCCATCACGCCGAATGGCTCGGTTCACGTTTAAACGATCATACGGGGAGATCTGTTCATGATTTTGCCTTGGCATATGGTCTGACACAACTGGTTACTTCGCCTACGTGGATTCCAGATGTGGAGGATCATGCACCTTCCCTGTTGGACCTTCTGCTGACCTCTCACCCGAATGGATCTCAGATTTCCGTCGACGCCCCTTTAGGCTCCTCGGACCATTGTCTTGTCCGGAGTGTGGTGCCACTCACGCTGAAATCGCGGTTGCATTCTGCAGGCTGCCGCCGTGTTTGGCACTATAGGTCAGCCGATTGGGATGGGATGCGGTCTTTCTTTGCATCCTACCCTTGGGGGCGGGTTTGCTTCTCGCCAGACGATCCCAACGTTGTTGCAGATTCTGTCGCTGATGCGGTACTTCAGGGTATGGAACTTTTTATTCCTTCCTCTGTGGTGCCCATTGGAGGCAAATCTCAGCCATGGTTTGGTCACTCCTGTAAAATAGCATCATGCTATATGCAGGAGTGCTACCGAGCCTGGGCTGACGCATCAGCGTCCAGGGATGTGAACACCAGCGCTCTAAAAAAGAAGTATAATTCCGCCTCTAGGTCCTTCAAAAGAGTCATTGCCAAGGCAAAGTCAGAGCACATAGGCAGAATTGGCGAGAGACTAGTTCGTCTTCCTTCTGGAACCCGTGCATTCTGGTCTCTCGCCAAGGCTGTCCAGGGGAATTTCTGTCAGCCATCTCTTCCATCTCTGCACTGGGAGGACGACTCACTGGCCCACACCGCAAAGGAGAAAGCCGATCTTCTAGGCTCTTTCTTTGCGTCTAACTCGACTCTCGATGACGGGGGGAGTACGCCGCCGACCATCCCGCGGTTTAAGTGCTTCATGCCGGAAGTGCAGTTCACTTAGCGCTCGGTTCGCAAAGCACTCCTCTCCCTGGACATCCACAAGTCGAGTGGGCCTGACGGAATCCCCCCAATTGTGCTGAGGACGTGTGCTCCAGAGTTGGCACCGGTTTTAACGCGTCTTTTCCGGTACTCCTACTCCCTAGGCGTAGTCCCAAAATCATGAAAGACGGCTTTCGTCCACCCGATCCCTAAAAAAGGCGACCGCACAGACCCGTCCAACTACCGGCCTATCGCCATCACCTCCTTGTTCTCCAAAACAATGGAGTCCATTGTAAACTGGCAGCTCATGAGGTACCTTGAGGATCACCAGCTGATTAGTGACCGCCAATACGGTTTTCGCCGTGGTAGGTCAGCTGGTGATCTTCTGGTCTACCTAACTCACAGATGGGCGGAGGCAGTAGAGTCCAAGGGGGAGGCATTGGCCGTTAGTTTGGACATTGCGAAGGCATTCGATCGGGTTTGGCACAAAGCGCTTCTTTCGAAGCTCCCTTCCTATGGGCTTCCCGAGAAATTGTGCGATTGGATCACCAGTTTTCTTGCAGATCGGAGCATCAAGGTCGTTGTAGACGGTGCAAGCTCCGATTGCAAGCCTATTAATGCTGGTGTTCCACAGGGCTGCGTGCTATCGCCAACGCTGTTTCTTCTGCATATCAATGATATGTTGCAAACTCGTAGCATTCATTGCTATGCAGATGACAGCACTGGTGATGCTCTTTACACCGGCCGAGCCAATATTTCTCGGGAAAACGTCTCTGAGTGCCGGGACAAACTTGTGTCTGAAGTCGAGTCTCTGCTGGACAGAGTCTCGGATTGGGGGCGACTAAATCTAGTCCAGTTTAACCCCCAGAAGACACAAGTTTGCACGTTAACCGCTATAAAGAATCCCTTTGTCGTATCCCCTCAGTTTCAAGGCACTCCCCTTGTTGCCTCAGCCAGTATCGGAATCCTCGGCGTCGACATATCGAGTGACGTGCAGTTTCGTGGTCACTTGGAAGAGAAGGCCAAATTGGCCTCTAAAAAGCTTGGCGTGCTCAGCAGAGCGGGACAGTATTTCATGCCGGCACACCGCCTGCAACTTTACAAGGCGCAGGTTCGACCGCTCATGGAATACTGTTCCCATCTCTGGGCTGGGGCTTCCCAGTACCAGCTCCTTCCACTTGACCGCATCCAGCGCAGAGCGGCTCGAATCGTCGACGACCGAGTGCTTTCCCATCGGCTCGATTCACTGGCGCTGCGAAGAGATGTTGCATCTCTTTGCGTATTTTATCGCATCTATCACGGGGAGTGCTCTGAGGAATTGTTCGGATTAATCCCAGTGAACGTACTACACGGCAAACGTCCCGATACCATCCACACCATCTGGATGCTTGGCGGTCCACCACTGTACGTTTCAAAAGGAGTTTTCTGCCGCGTACAACCTCTCTGTGGAATAATTTACCACCGGCGATTTTTCCGGACCGATACGACCTGGGGACCTTCAAGAAAAGAGCTTACTCCTTTCTAAAGGGCCGGCAACGCACCTGCAATTCCCCTGGTGTTGCGGTTGATCATGGGCGGCGGCAGTCACTTTACATCAGGTGAGCCACATGCTCGTTTGCCCCCCTCTTCTATATAAAAAAAAGTTTGTTAATCTGGGTTGCGTATTTAGCAGGGATGGGAGATGTTATAAGGATATAGAACGACGAGTGAATGCAGGAAATAGAGCAAATGGGGCCCCATACCACATACACTCTATTGTGAAGAGTCAAAATATGTCGAAAAAGGCACGTATGGCAATCAGCTGTGTTTCTTAGAGGTTGGGTGTGGCAGAAGAAGCACGAGAGTAGAATGAACGCAGTAGAAATGCGGTCGTTAAGAAATATGTTAGGGCTGAATCTGAATGACAGGGTAAGAAATTGTGTAATAAGAGTAGAGTGTGGTTTGCAAGATGATGTTGTGACCAGGATTAAGAAAGGAATGCTTCGGTGGTTTGGTCGTGTGGAAAGAATGAATGAGGAAAGGGTGACAAAGAAAATTTATGTTGCAGAAGTGAATGGCAGAGTCAGAAAGGGACGTCCTAGGCGAAAATTTATCGACCAAATTGGCGATTTATTGAAAACGGGCCAAATTAGGAGTACCCTTAACCGACGAGCATGTATGCGTAGGTGTATGGATGTGAAGGAGGCGAGAGAGGTGTGTCAGGATCGTGCCAAATGGAAGTCTGTAGTCTCTGCCTACCCCTCTGGGTGACAGGCGTGAGTGTTTATGATTATGATTTTATGAGTTGACCAAAATATCTTTGTTTGACTATCGTAAACTTCTGAGTTACAGATGCGCGTTGGCATCTATAGTACGACCAACGAGGAGCGATACCAAATGTAAACAAAACCAATGCAAGGTTACTAGAAATAGCAGGGGAGCGTAACTTTTTGGTAGTTGATTATGAATTTTTTTTTTCTTTGGTGGGTGGGTTCTATACAGGACTAATGATATGTTATGTTATGGTTATGGAAATGAGGATTAAAATATTTTTTAAGGAAATCATTGTTTAATCAGTCAGACGCCGATTCTTCTGAGTCTGTAGAGTCAGAATCAGAGTCTGTAACACGTACAATTGTCACTAAATGTTGGTCTAGGTTTGGTCGTGACAGGAGAAGAAATTTCGCCGTGTTCTTCATAGTCCTTGGGATTCTATATACAGATGAAACGCGCCATCTTTTTTCTGTATGGGTATTTATCATCAGGCAAGTTTCTTTAACATACTTGGAGGTATTAATAACCATATTTTTTCATTCACAGTAAAACTAGTCACATAAAATTAAAAATTAAATTAAAATGATATTTTTTTTATGTGCGAGCAGCTATGCAGGTC